TTCACTAAGGTAAAAGAAATGGAGAATACATAGCTTATACATATCTTCCTTCTATGGCCTCCCTCTCAAGCGACACCTTGATACAAGGCCTCAAGATGCTCTCCTCCTCTCTAACTCTATAGCTATTCTCTCCTCTTTTGTGGTAGCTTAAGATCTCTTCTCCCTTTCCTCTCCTAAGCCTCACACCCTTAAGATTTCTTCCCTTGCTCTCCTAAGCCTCATACCCTCTCTATTTATAGAAGCAAGAGAGTGGTAGGTGGGAGGTAGGTGAGCGGTAGGTGGGAGGTAGGTGAACGGTAGGTGAACGGTAGGTGAGATGTGGTAAGTGAGCGGTACCACATTACAAAAGTGTCATTTTACTTTAGTTCATTAATTGGGGGTCAAAATAACATAAGTTTTTTAATGATATATAAATTAATTGATCTTACACTTGATGAATATATATCATCGAATCATTTAATTCGACTATAAATATATAAAATTTGAAGATCATTTGGTTAACCTGCAACGAATCGGTCAATTTGGTCATAAATTTGTTAAAATCAGATGTCGAACAAAATGTCCTATTTTTATTGATGCATCAGGCATACCATGCAAATTTGTACATCATATCAAAATAATAATTTGTAATTAAATTTCAAAATTTTATTTCTATTTTTTTCTTAAAATACATGCAATTTATTTTTCTAAAATATAATACAGAGTAGTTTCCAATCTAAATAATAATAATATTTTATAAAAAAAAAATTCATTAACCTATTTACTTTTATCAAAGATAAATTGTAATGAAAGTATATGTTTACTATTTAAATTTAATTACATGAATAAACATCTAAAGGTAAAAAATAAAATAAAATCCATATCCTTTATGAATAATACAAATTAAGCGAAGGATATCACGATGGAATGGCTTTCCAATTCCACGTGAAGGCCAAGTACGCCCATTGACTCCCTCAAACAACCCGTCACGAAAATGTCATCAAGATAGACTCAGGACCCAAACCCTAATTATTTAAATACTCACCAATCAATGAACAGATAAGCACGAAGACAAGCAAGGGGAGTAGGTTGAAAACAACATGGCTAAAGACCAAGACCATTTGCCCTAACGTTGACTTCTAGAAGAAGCATGACCGAAGCTAGGGTTTCGTCCCCCTCTCTCTCTTTAAAGCTGAGAAGGACGGTTTGAAACCAAGAGAAAGAGGTTTGAAAAAGGAGGAGAGAGAAAGAGACGTCGAGGAAGACGAAAAGACTCGCAAGTTGGGAAGAGGACAGAGAAAGCTTGAGGAAGCTGGAAAAATATTTTTCTCTTATTAATTAATTGGTGGTCGAAGGAAGGAGACTGGAAAACGTGATGAAGATGGGAAGACATTAAATACTATTATTACTATTTAATGCTTCATTAGAATACTGTGGGAGAGAAAGCAGCTTCTCGTCTTTTTCCTTCAGTTTGAAACCAATAGAAAGCTATTTTGGTGGGAGAACTCAATACCTAAATTCACTCGGGACAGGAAAATTTTTTATATCATACACCCTTGAATTTGACCCTACCGCAGAACCAAGGGAAAAAAGAGTATCATCATAAACATATTCCCTCCATATCACACGACAAAATATTTAGTGTATATGTATATATAATTGGTTGGTTCATAGTAACCGAAATTGTAAAAATATATCAAGTATTATATTTCTTGAGGGATAAATATATGTGAGTTTAGGGTTTAGACTAAAATACTGTGAAGATTTGAATAAGGTCCAGACAAAATTTGATAAATATTGAGACCGAGTTCAAAATGGTTGGATCAAGGTTCAAGCAATTTTTTGAGAAAAATTTTAACTGGATTTAATCATGGATTGAATATTATTCAATAAATAGTTCAACATGTTACAACATAGTACAAATATTTTATTGTTTTATATTCATCATCTCTTTTGAAATTAACTCATTGGAGTTATCATATTTTTTATGTAGATGTCTACTCTACTAGGCTAAGGTCACATATAGAGCTACAATATGATTGAGAAAATTATATGATGAGAACATCATTATGTTGAGTATCAGATGCAAGGGCATAATTAATGTTATCGTTATTATTATTATTATTATTATTATTATTATTATTATTATTATTATTATTATTATTATTATTATTATCTTTAATATAATAAAATGAGGGGCAATTTACACATTAACCACCCAATTCCTATGTATTTACAAATATAACACTTCAATTTTATTTTTTTAACATTTATACCACTCATATTTTTCACATCACATCAAAAATACCATTATTTTAGCTATTCAAAAGTGAAATACACTACGTAGTGTGTGTGTGTGTATGTGTGTATATAAGTGTGTGTGCGCGCGCGCGCATAAAAATTAAAGTTTAGGTGTTAGATATGCAAATACATAGAAATTGAGTGTTATGTATGTAAATGTTTCAAAAATGAAATAACAGGCCGATTAAACGCATAAATATTAGGGGGTTGAGAGAAGATTTAACTGGAAGACGAAATCCGGGATGGTCAACTGCTCGCGAGGAACATATTTGAAGAGCTGCAGCAGCCGATCAATGTACACGACCTTTTGCCACGTCTGTCAGATAAATAATCTTGTTAGAAAATTGGGAATTGAAAGTTTGAATAATGGCAGCAGGGAGTTTTACATGAGATCTGTGTATTATTCTACAACTCAGTTTATGGGCGTTTAAATACATACCACCCAATCCCTGTGTATTTACATATCTAACACCTACTAAATTCTGCTTCCTATATTTATACCACTCAAATCTTACACATCACATCAAAAAAATACCACCATCTTAACTATTAAAAAGTGGAATGCGGCTTTTCAAGCATGAGGGGGCATGAATGTAAAAAACTAAAGTTTAGAAGTTAGATATGCAGAATTGAGTGGTATGTAGGTAAGTATATAAATCTTCCGTTATTAAGGGGCATTTACATACGTATCACCCAATTCCTACTTATATATCTAGCACCAAAACTTTACTTTAAACATTAATAATACCCAAATCTTTGACAACACATAAAAAATACCATCATTTTAACTTCTAAGATGCGAAGTACACTTTTGCATGCATAGGTAAGGCGGGACAAGGTGGGGCATGCATGTAAAAACTTAAGTTTAGGTGCCAGATATGTAAATATGTAAGGTATTGAGTGGTACGTATGTAAATCTTACTGCTTTTAAGTGACAAATAACCTTGTGAATAAACAATTGAGGCATTAGAGAGGTACCAATACTGTTTTAGCAAGAATGTATGTAATTTTTTTAAGGTTAAAAGTGGCCCAGAAATATGGAGAAAGTGAGAGAGCAAAGAAAAACCTCTCCATCCACAAATAGCTGCAAAGTAAAAATAGTCGCCTTCAGTCCAAGGGTTGGATGAAGCACATAGATAGCCTGCAAAATAGGAATTTCATAAAATCATCTGTCACAATCATCAACAACCACATAGCAATTTGGACTGATCTGCAAATTATTAAGTTTCAATTAGAAATATTTATCAAAACATAAAAGGGATATGAGAACCAACATGAAGATTTCGCCGGTGTTTCCGACCGAGCACCTGCTGTAGCTTCTTCATCCAACCAAGATCAGGCCGCCTATTAAATCCATTTTTTTTTAAATTAAAATGAGCGAATAGGAAAAGAGAAATAAAAAAATACAAATGTTTTTTTTTCAACCTTTCCAGATAAAGTATAATTGCAAAAAACACCCTCCACCCATCATGTAATTGTGTCTAGGTGAGCTGCTGTGTGCGTGAGGAGCACTAGTAGGTCCAAGGGTTGTATGTGGACAAAAATAAAACAATATCCCATTTCAAGCAAAAGAGATATGATCAACAAATTTATAATCCACATTATTCTAGACGATTCAGAGGAATATCTTTAAAATGGTCCAGGTTCCTCAGGGTCGGTCTCAATAGGACAAAATGGAGAAGATTCAAGTAGAAGACCCCACTTAACGGGATAAAGGCTTGTTGTTGTAGTTGTGGCCTAAGTTCCTCAAGGAGTGACAGGCTAACGAAGAAAATTCCACTTGTTAAAATTACAAGAATTTATCAATAAAAACATATTGATATTATTTTCAATACAATGTATTGAATATAGCAAGTTACATGATAATCTTAACAACTATTGTATTCATGGTTCATTTGGATTTGTTATAATGTCAATCACTTACATTTGCAGAGATGCTGCAGAATGAAAATACACAATTGTGTATGGCTTCTGAATCAAAGGTTCAAACTCCTGTCAATAAAAAAGTAAAATCACCGGGTTGAAATAGATTTAACACACATTACCCACGAAAAAAAAAATAATAATTTAAATAGAATAAAGTTTTACAAAGATACCACTCAATACCTAAGTATTTACATATATGACATCTAAACTTCAATTTTTCAATAGGTCACCTTATCTATGCTTGAGAAGGTGTATTTTACTTTTTTAAAGTTAAAATAGGGGTATTTCTTATGTGATATGAAAGATTTGAGTGGTAGAAATATAAAAATTAAAGTTTAGGTGTTAGATATGCGAGCACATAGGAATTGAGTGGTATTTCTGCATTCATGCATTTAAGCAAGTGTTGCAAATTTCTGCTTAAATTTAAATTCTGTCTACAAGAAAAAAATTACAGTTCCATATAATTCTACAAGACTAAAACAGCCTCATTAACAAAATTTTCTGGTGACCGGTTCAAATTCATAATCATGCAAAGCTAAAATTGAAAAACCTTTGTTATTATCAAGCAATAAAAGAAACCTAATTGCTAGATGCAAAATCAACACTCAGGACTTGTAAAAACTATTTACTACTCGTAAGAATAAGAACCTACTTTTGTTGGACTCACATAAGAGCTTTCGCTTTACATGTTTCAACGGGACAAATGAAGAGAACATCACAGTGAAACAATCTGGGTTTGTTGTAATAGTTCAGTTTGCATCAAACAAGTAAACCCACGAAGAGATCTGGACTGTCGAATTTTTAGGGAAAATTATATACGTATCACATAATTCTTAAGTATTTACATATCTAATAGCTAAAGTTTGATGTTATTTATGACACTATGGTATTATAAACTTATGCATGAAAAAGTGTATTTCACTTTTAAGAAGGTAATAAAAGTGATATTTTTCGTGTGATATTAAAAATTTGGGTGTTTAACATTTAAATATTAAAGTTTAGGTGTTAGATATGTAAATATATAAGCAGTGTGTGGCATGCATGTAAATTCCCCATTTTTCTAAAGAAGCAATCGCTGTGCTTAGGCAAGGCAGCCCAAACCAGGGTCTAAATGCTTATTTCTATGTTAAAATTGTCAAACATTATTTGCAGGAAAATTTATAAAATAGCAAATTTGGTATGACAGTTCATCTAAAGAAACCATAGAAGGCCAGATTAATCAGGTTAAAGCTCAACCCAACTCAAAAATCAGCAAACCGATTTGTATACTTGGGATTGGATGTGGATCGGATGGACAATAACTATGAGCAAGGTTGTGAAAACTGGACCAAACATCAAACCAAAAGAGGTAAAGATTCAAGGTTCAATGGTTAAAATAATTATATATTAAATTTTTTTATTGATTCAATAAATAAAATTGTAATTTAAGACTATTTTTGAATATTTTGAACAATATTCTAAATAAAAAATTTTAAACATGATATTTTATCTTTTTTTTTTAATTTAAATAGTTTATTTCTAGAGATCTGGTCAAAATCAAAATGCTAAAATTGAATAATATTTGAACAGACCAGTTCTTTAAAAACCAAACTGGTTCACCGGTTTTGTGGTTCAACCACGGTTTTGACCGGTTCAATTCAGATTTTATGTAGAAACAATTTTGGGCTTGGACTGAACCGGTTGAATAACCTATTCTCGGTTGAACTGGTCAAACCGGCCAGTCCGGTTCAGTATTTAAAATTGTGTCCACAAGTAATTTCACATAAGGATTTCAACATATAAACTTATGGAAATTTTACATGCATAGCACACAATTCTTATGTACTTTACCTATCTCGCCTAAACTTTCATATTTAGATACAGAACATATTAACACTTCGGTGTTATAAACCTATGCATGTAAAGATTTATTTTCTTTTAAAAGGGCAATGACAGTGATAATTTTTTATGTGATAATAAAGATTTGAGTGCTATGATTAAAAATATGGAATTTTAGGTGTGAGATATGTAAATACATAAGAATTGTGTGCTATGCATGTAAATGCCCTTACAATTATTCATATAAAGCCAAAGGGCCAAATAGAGATCTCAACTTAAAGTACAAACACTGACCATACCAAACAGGTTGCCTGCTTGACATCTATCCATCCTCCAGCCATATTTTTCCTGCCAACATGTCTCTCTTCCTATTTTTTGCTATGTATATTGATGAAACTATTATCTTATTTCCTCATATCCCAATCATC